CAGACAACCTCTCGTCAATATGCGTTTTTTGCATTGCATTGCTGCAAAAAACGCATAAAAATCATCTTTTAACAATCAAAAATTAATTACTTGAAAGCAAATTTTACTGAATACATTGCCCCTTTTTCCTCTTTCCGCACAAAAAAAAAAAAAAAAATTGAAAAATATAAGCCAATCTATGGGTGCGCGTTTCCCTCCCTATCTCCTTTTCATAAATAAAGTATTTATTATCCAAAGTTTTTTTTTCGTCTTCGTCTATGACCAGCAATAGTCTTTGGCCTCTGTGAAATAAAATGAAATCCTCAAAGGAAATCACATTTTATCAGTCCAAATCTTAAAATCGCTATGTGTTCAAATCTGAAAACAGGAATGAAAACAACTAACACATTTGTCCTTCATCAGAAAAAAAGTATTGCGACTACCTCTCAGCATTATTTTTAGCTATCTTTTTAAGTTCCAGAGGGGAACTGCAGAAGACACTTTGTGTTCAAAAAATCCATGACACACCTGTCTGCTTGTCTTTAGAAATTTTATCTTGAAAAGAGCTTTAAATTACCAGATCCTCGTGATGATCTTTCCAAATGGCGTACGCATCTTCCCAAGATACACCTCGTTCTACGCCAATTTTGTGAATTTCCACACGGAAAAATCCACTTTCATAACGGCCCGTGAATACACGGGTTTCCAATTTGCGTGCTTCATCGCCTCCGGTTCCGATGTCTGCAATTATAAACTTGTCCCTTGGGATCACAGCAATACCTACACGCTGGCTACAAGAAATAACTTACCCATTATGCCCATGTCATAAGTGCCATCGTGCTTTGCTTGCGCAATTAATTCAGCAACAATATCCGAGAAGTACTGGAAAAGAGCATTCTGTGCATGCACGGGCAATCCGAGAATGCGGTTCAGGAATTTAGGTATAGTAGCCGACTCTTTTTCAATCCCATAAATGCCATCATCTGACGTAAGCAGACCAACACCTTCCATATAACACTGCATATCTGAAACAATATGATAAGCTCCACAAAACTGATGTGTAGCTGTGCTTAGCTCATTGTAAATAGCGAAACTTTTTATTTCAATTACAGGTTGACAGGCAGCACTTACCAGTTAAGAAATTGCCTGGTTTATAATTCTTGGGCGGAGGTATGAGAGGTGGATCCAACGATCCAGTAATTGTTCGCAAAAGCACATCCAAAGCTGCTCGGCCATATCGCGTGTCCAAATTGAACTGACTCAAATCACGCGATTCTGTTGCACGCCTATCACCATGCGTTAACGCTCCAAGCGATTCAAGACGTTTCGCAACTATCGATGCAAATCTTCAATGTTAAATAACTATAGCGTTTCCAAAAACAATACACAACGCACAATTTCACAGATGAAAACAGAAATTACCTTTTTTCGCCTGCAAGTTCCGATATCAGAAATATATATTCCGGAGCACTCACTTGGTTGGAGCGATGTGTTCGTCCTGAAAACTATTCCTTTCGACTAAACATTTAACAAATCCTCTCTAGTTGTAAAGCCTGCCCAGTACGATAAAAGCCAAAGCATATTGTTATTCCTCCCCAAGCCACCCCTCCCCTCATCCTTCCCGTCTGTGGAAGCTTACTGGTCCGATAATCACATCTGCAAAAATAACAGAAAAAAAATCCATAAAAATTTAGCAACAAGTAATATTCCTCATCAGGAAAACCCATAACACGTACAACGACTGGCGAAACTAAACCTTAGATCTTCAGGACAACAACAATCGCCAGCTGCTCAGGAGGCACACACAAAAAATGATAAACTACTTATCTTCGGAAAAATCCTAATGCGTCATAAAAAAAAAAAAAAAAAACTGTTTAAAAAATATGCATATTTCATCACTACCAATTTTGTTCTTAATGCCGGAAGCAAAACAAGCCAACCCATCACCACCAGAAAGTAAAATATCAAGATTCATTTTGGTATCTAAAACGAATTAGCTAGAACAGGGTATTCATTAAATTTGGAAACATTTACTTAGCCACTGCGAGACTCAAACACAGAATTATCTTTACTCCATGTTCGAAAGAAAATCGAAACAAATAACTGACCAGCGCACCGACTGCCAGTGCGAGGATGCGTTTCTTGCACAGTTCCCTGTAAACTTTTGTCACTATCAGCAGATACTTCTAGCTAAAGGGACGGAAATTGGACACCACGACTACCAGAAAACATCCTCTTAAAATTTCAGCTTTCTAGCTTCTTTCGTTCTCAAGTTGGCAACTTACCTGCAAAAAACTTTCATGGGCTCGTATGTGTGAGCCATGTACATCTGCAGCAGGGTTTGAACTCACTAACTTCTGCCTTTCTAGCTTTTCTGGTCCCCAAGCTAGCAGCTTGCCCACCAAAAAATCTTGACGGGCCAGTACGTGGGAACCACGTAGGAAAGAGCGCCCCTTTTGGGGATGGGAACCTGCACATGTATGCAGATTAGATTCCCAAAGCTTCAGCCTTGTAGCTTTTGTAGGTCCCGAGATAAAAAATCGCTTCAGACGAACATACAGACACACACAGATAACTCCTGCACAATAAGAGTTTTTAAATTGCAAAAATGTAAAAAAAAATCGCATAAAAATTATTACAGTGCATTTTTGCTAAGAAAAAGTTACCAAATTGCTGAATAGCTTTGTCAGCAGACCATGGCAACTCTAACGTAATATGCACCCGTCGAAGCCGATTCTTTGCCCTTCGATCGGACTGTAAATAATCATTTTCAACCGATTATAACAGGAAATTCAAAATGTTCATACCTTTGCCAGTGTCAGCATATTCTGACAAGAAATTCAAAGTAAGTTAGAGCAGCATCAGTTTTTTGCTCCTTTTGCATTTCCACATTTATCGATTTCATTTAATTTATTGTTAATCATCACTTTTCGCGAAATGCATTTGACCATGAACCGATTATGATTGGACTCACTGCTGCCTACTGTCCTCATTTTTTCATATTTCCGGGCAAACTGAGAACAATGCAACACACACCTATTTCAATCACCACGAAATAAGGTCATTCTTTTTTTGTGGCATATTCTGGACTGTTAATTCAATTATAGCGCTTGATCACACTTCTCTTTACCTCATCTTTTGTGCCTCCTAGAAATAGCAGAATGAAGGTTACCTGCAGTGAGATACCAGAGGAAGCGGCCTCAGAGATCACGGCAACCAGCTTTTCACCCTTCATAAATTTATCCTTTTCATCCATATTCATTAATTCAAGCGGTACATCAGCACCAGCATGTCTGAGCTCATATTCAACGTCTCCGTCATCACGACACACAATGCGACCTTTTCGACCAGTCATCTACACAGAAGTAATATTAACACATCTCTTAATCGTTAACTGGAAATCTATCTAATTAAAGTGTGAGCATGGATTCAACATAAGACATTTTGCGCAACATGGAACCGAGGACTAAGAGTAGGTGTTTCCAAACAAATCACTATGCTTCGCTTAGCTAAGCCTGGAAAGCTTTAAAATTCGATTAGACAAGACTCAAAGTCCTCGAGATAAAGATCCGCAACTTAATCTCTGACGGGTTGGTACGTGAGAAACAGATGATTTTGAAAGCAGATCAAACGTCTGAGAATGTTCGGAAAATTTCAGCTCCCAAATAACTTCTCTCGTTTCCGAGCAAAAGGATGCCAAAATTATGCAATTTCAAATTTCCCATGTCTGTACGTAAGATGTAGACGCGTGTGAAAGTCGGTCAAGAGCCGCATTAAGGCAGGGAGCACACTGGGGAAACTTAAACATCTAAGCCTGATTGGTTGTTCAGTGGAAATAACTAGAGAAACAGACATAAACACAAACAAACACAGAGTCAACACAATGTGCTTTTTCACTCACTGCTGTTGCGCAAAAACACATAATAAATAGCAACGCGCACCAGATTAATCGGTGCGATCATGCGTTTTGTGCAATTCAGCCCATCGA